AAAACGCGCATGTCCTGTGAAATGCTTCTAACAAGACACAAAAATACCCTCAAAGTAAAATGTAAGTCACAGTCACGTAAACATGTATGTCCGTGTAGACGTGAATAGCCTAGACCCCAAAAGCGTGAGAATACAAACCGAAACAACACAGACAAGCAGAAAAGTGTGTAAAAGCCGGAAAGTCAGCGTGGTGACGGGAAAGGAGGTGGAAGAAGAAAGAAAGGGAAAGAGAAAAGAAAAGAGAAACCAAAGATTCATGGAGGTTGTTAGAAGGTAAATGACATCAGGAAAGAGGGACAGTGAGGACCTGCAAGAGGCGGAAAAGGGGACTTTTTTCAGACTCTTATGAACCAGGAGCAGAGGGAAAATAAGACAAACGGAGGTCCCATCTGAGCTGGGGTGAATTCTGTCATTGTCTGTGTGTGCGTGCGCAGGGCAAGCGTTTGTTTCCCTGTGATGGCGGTGGGAGGCGTGAGAGGTCTGGTCCGTGGCGGAGAGCCGGCAGAACACAGGGACTGCAGCAAAGCAGCTGGACGCCTGCCCGCCTCTCCGTGGGGGTCTCCCTGAGGTCTGCAACGTGGAACTCGTGGGTGCAGGTCTGTGACACAGCTGGGTTTCACAAAGGGCAGATGGAGCCATGAAGTGGTCCGTGTGCTGGGCTCCAGACGTGCTCAGAAGGGAAGAGAACAGCTCTGCTCTCTTTTAGGGAAGATCTCAGAGCCAGATGGAGCATAATTTAAGTAGCTCCTCCAAACCCTTCAGAGCCAGGTGTTATGAGCAGGTGAGACAGGCCAGCGAGGGACAATGAATGAGTAGGGGGATTGCACTGCATCTAGGGGCTCATTTCCTGTGTAAAGGGGTCAGGGATCTTTGGATACACCTTCTTGTTATGAGAACGTGGATTAAATCCTCACATTTTTCTGAAGATGCCAGAAATCTGCTATTTTCTGCAGAATCTTTATTCCTTCAAATATCAGCAATTATATCAAAATTAGTTGGTAGGCTGTATTTTACCCATGGGTCACCAATTCACAACTCTGGTTCAGATGCAGGAATCAGTGTGAAGATTTCAGCGTGTAGTAACTTCAGAAATTCATTATTCCTATTCTTTCGGCAGGCACAGGGAATGGAAGGCCCAGACTGGGTCAGCAGCTAACCTAAAACCACAAAGTACACTTGTCAAAAGACAATGGGACCAGAACACAGGTCTCCAAATCTCGTGGAGCGTATTGTTTGTACCATACCTTACTATAGCAGTTACCCATTGCTGTGTAACAAATGACCCCAGAACTCAGCGGCTGAAAACAACAAACATTGATTATCTCACAATTTCTGTGCATGGTGAAAACCACCACGGCTTAGCTGGATGCATCTAGATCAAGACCCTCATGAAGTTGCATTTGGGCTGTCGGTCAGGGCTACTGGGAAACTCGCCAGGGAAAGCTTCATTTCTCTAAGTTCACTCAGGTGGTTGTTGGCAGGAGCTGGTGCCTTGGACGCTATTAGATTGAGTCTCAGTTCCTCACTGGCCGTTGGCCAAAAGTCTCCGCCAGTTCCTTGCCACGTGGGCCTCTCCCTAGGGCACTCAAAACATGTCACCTGGCTTCCCTCAGAGTCAGCAAGAAAGAGAGCAGGTGGGCACCCAAAAGTGAGCCCACGTTTTTGTAACCTAATCTCAGAAGTGGCATCCATCATTTCGTCCGCCTTCTATTTGCTGGAAATGAGTCAGTCAGGCCAGCCCACAATCCAATCCAACAAGAGGGGATTACACAAGAGCATAAATGCTAGCAGGCAGGTGTCACCAGAGGCCACCTTAGAGGCTGCCTACACACTCATTATCTTACGAATATATGCCAGGGGCCTGCAAGCCATGGCCCCCTGGCTAAATCCAGCTGCCACCTGCTTTTGTGAATAAATTTTATTAGAACAAAGCCGGGCGCACGTGTTTACGCACTGTTTATGACTGATTTTGCAGTACACCTGCAGAGCTGAGTCGTTGCAACAGAAAGCACATGACCAGCAAAGCCTAAAAATATGTAGTATCTAGTCTTTTGCAAAAGAGATTTTCTGGTTTCTGATGTATGCAATCATAAAGCACTTTTTAAAATGTGGATGATTGAGATGGAGATGCCAAATCTACCCTCTGGTAGACCTCTTGGTGCTCTGGTCAAAACAGGAGGCACAGAGGCGATGCCTTCTAAACTACAGGAAGATAAATATCTTGGCTTCTTACCAGTGCCTGCCTTCTCGTCTTCCACCAGCGCATCCCTTTGGCACATCTGTACGGTTCCTGGAGGGCAGGGGTGCCTGGGAAGTGCAGAGCTCCCTGAAATTCAGGGCGCTGCCACTGACCAGCTGGGTGGCCTAGGGAAAGTCACTCAACCTCTCTGAGCCTCAGTTTCCTCATCTGGAAAACTGGGATAATGCCTATCTGTGCCTATATAAGGTAAATAATGGTGGTCCTGGCAAGATTAAAATGGTTGCAAAGGAGAATAGCTGCAGCGCCCATGGACCGTGTTAAGATAACAGTGGGCGTCCTGCGTCCCCTTGCTGAGCTGCGCGCTGTCGTCGCTAATTAGCCCTCCTTGGGTATTCCTCCCCAGGGCCACGTGGACGACCCTTGGGGCACATGGTAGTTGCGGCTTACAAGTCCGTTGTACATCATGAACTCGCAGGGCTTTCCCTGTGGACCAAACAGGTCGTTTAGTGCTCTGTGCCTTGCTGCTGAGGCGCACACACTCAGGAGCCCACGGAGTTTATTCAAGTAAAAACCCAGACGGCAAGCGGCAGGGCTGGAGTGAAGTGGTAACGTCTCACTCCGGTCTGGTGCTCTGCCGTGCGCACAGTGTGCTCCTGGACCGAAATATTTGATCAGCCAAATCTCTGCTCCATTTTTTAAAAACAGAATTTTTCAAACAATTAGAGGAGATTAGAGGAAAGTCTGACATGAGCAAAAACAGCTGAATAACTCATCTCTCTTCTCTCAACCTAATCAACATCGGGGAAACCGCTGACTTAGAGCTGGGAACAAACCCAGCACGTCCAGGGCAGCGGTTGGCAGGCTCTGAATGTCCACGTCCTGTGACTCAAGGCCGTCGACCCGCAGGGAGGCCCCGGCCCTTGTCAGTGCTGTCAGGCTCCACGGGACGTGTCAATTCTTCAACAGCAAACACATAACTGCTTTACTGAGAGGCCAAAAGTATTTGTGACGTTAAAAAAATTTAATAAGTCAAAAAGAAGGCAAACCAGAGTTGCCAGTGGTCCCCAGGGTGAAGTGAGGAGCTGTCTGAACTTTCACCACAGGCAGGTGTAGCTTTTATAAACACCTTAAAATTCCAAAATGCTCCTCAAATTCATTTTGTGAGGGGAGAGGGCTCTGGCAGTGCTGCCGAATAGCTGACAAGAAAAAGTGCCTTTCACTCCCGAAGCAACTCTCAAAAAATAGTGATGTTTGCCTTAGAAATGCCTCCTGGTCTTCGAAGGGGCAGGTTAGACCAAGGGTTCACCGTGGAGGTCTGTCCTCCACGTGGCAAAGTGAGCCATCACCGGTGACCGGAGCTCTGACGACTTCAGCCCGAGCCTGGGCTGAGAACTGGCTCTAATTCTCTGCAACACCCGACCCCTCCCGCTCCTTACCCTGTGTGACACCGAGTGACACTCTGCACACGCCTGTCCACCCCACAGTCCCTTCCCCATTAAAAAAAACTGCCTTGTCTCTCATCCCAGAACTGATGAGGAACGTTTTAAAAGGTGAAGTGTCTACAATTCGCAATTCTTCTGAAACCTGCTACAGAGACTCACCTTCAGCATGAGTTACCTTTTGTCTGCATTTCCACAGCCCTGTGCTTGAACACTTACCACGGCAATTATTAACATTCACTCTCTGTGGTTTATCTGACTGTATGCCCGTCTGATTTTACCACCATGCGGGCTCTCCAAGAGAAAGAACCAGAGCCAGGCCCCCTTTGCAGCTCACCTCTTCTACCCCCGCCCTCCCCCAAAGCACACGGTAGTGGCCTCTGTCAAGAGCAGGCATTCAGAGTTTTCTTGCTGTCCTGGTCCTAGACCAGAGCACCCCAGAACCCCGGGGGCCCACTGTCGCTGCGCTCGCACCGTGCAACAGCCAACCAGCGCCCTGGAGATTTCGGCTCCCAAGTAAACGGTCTTTCAAGTATTACCCACTGATTGGATTCCCTAACATTTAAGTCTAATCATTTTTTAAGAAGCAGCCGGCCGACTAAGCACTGAATTTATACCCAGTGGAGATCATCCGATCCCTGGACTTCCGTGAGTTCTCATGAGCCGTGAGTAACCAGGAGCCTTTCGTGTATCTTCCCGAGCTCCTCATCTGCATAGGAAGTGTCGTCACCAAGGAGGAGATGCCGGTCCATCAGATACACCATCCCCGGCATTCTCTTTCTCTGATGATGGGAAAATGAGACACTTTCTTGACTCATGAATTTGGCAGTTTTCAGGAGGAAGTGTAAGCCGGGTTTCACCCAAGGTACAGTGCCCATCGCAGGCCAAGGGCAGGGGGCAGGGTCTCTGGAACGTCGCCCGCTTTTCCCCCTTTCCCACACTGATTAAAAGCCGATCCCGTCTCATTGCAATTTCAGGCGTATCCGTGGAGGCTCAGGGTGTGGTCCAGCCCCAGTTTACACCTAGACTCTGAATGCACCTGCCTTGGACTGGACCGATGTGGTTCCCAGGTGGGCCTCAGACTCTCCCAGGACTTTAGGAAGAAGGCAAAAGCGGAAACAAGGGAGCTCCCAGCCACGAGCCCCAGGACCGTCTCCAGGAGCAGGCTGGCCGTCCCCACCTGCGCCTTCGACCAGAGCTGAGCCAGGCAGACCCAGGCGCCCAGCGCCTGGAGGCCTCAGGGCGGCCCCGTGCTCTCACAGCAGGCCTGCTTCCCCTTGGGTGTGTAATGACCTCCCGGGGGGATGGGCGTGGTCTGCGGGTAAGACACATTGGCATGAAGCACCAGGAAGTCCGTCATGGTGTCATCGCCGCAACATTACAGGAATCGCAGCTCTTCCCATGGCTGGGGAGTGAGGCCTTTATAAAGGGAGCAAGCCCGCCTTCCCTCCCAGTCTCCGCGCCGCGAAGCCATGAGGATCCGCTGCCTCCTCTTCGCCCTGCTCTTCCTGTTCTTGCTGCCTGTTCCAGGTAAGACGGCCGGGAGGGGAGAGGGCCACCCATCTCCAGTCTTCTGGGAAGTGCAGGTTTGTGTTACAGGAACTGGACGTCCCCAGTCCCTTCTCTCTTTTCTGACAAGGATCACCAAGGACCTCAAAGCAGTTTTCATAATCTCTTCTGATTCACTCTTGAGAGACTGAACAGCCCACAAAAGCCATCTCCTCAAGGAAGACTGTCACACCTGTTATTGAGACGAGAAGAAAGTGATATAAAACTTTAATACCCACAGGAAAGACTGATTTAATCTGAGATCGGAAGCACAGACTTCCATTTTATTTGCTCAATGGTTGGGGCTAGAGTTTTGGGTTTCCGGAGAGGCCAGGGGACCACTGCAGCCCCCGCTCTCACAGGTGTCAGTTCACGAGGGGGCTGGCGGTGGCCACGCCACATCCTCGGCATCACGGTGCTTCCCGTGAGCTAGAGCCCAAAGGCACTGCGGATCGGTTGCCTAGTCCCACCTTCTACGTGACTCCTGATGGTACAGAGGAGGGAAAAAGGAATAAAAGGATACAAGAAAGACAGCTGGTCAGCTATTTGCAGAATTCCGAGAGCTCTGCTTGTACCTCAGCCTTCCTAAAACCTCCCCGTGTTCTGTTTCTTCTCTGCAGGTAATGGACGCATCATAAACAAGTTACAGAAGTATTATTGCAAAGTCAGAAGCGGCCGCTGTGCTGTGCTTGGCTGCCTCCCAAAGGAGGAACAGATAGGCCGCTGCTCTCTGAGTGGCCGAAAATGCTGCCGCAAGAAGAAGTGAAAAGCCCAGACTCACAGTGACAGTGTCGCAAAGTGTGAAGATGCCTGCTTGACGTTTATAGAAGCCAAGTCAAATTAAATATTTCTTCCAGAAAAGTTAAAAGCTTGATTATCTTTTTTTTTTTAATTCTGGTCATGGTGCTAGTTGTTAAGAAACAGGCAACTTAGAATTTGTTCATGACTCACCTTTAACTCAAACAAGGGGATCTAAACAACTGTTCCAAGGGTTACCAGAACTTACTCTTCTTTTGTAAATTTTGCACCGCAGTGACACTGGACTCCTGGTTCCTCCTGAAATACTTCCTTTGCTTTCTCATCACCCTTGCCTTTGAGCTTCCCAGCCCCTCCTCCTGCCACAGCATCTCCCCACCAGACCTCTCCCTAAACTTCAGTGCAGCTCTCAGGGGCCTTCCCGAGTCTTTCTGAACTCCTTGCACCTCGGAGAAACGGGGGGCCGGGCTCCCCAGCTCTGCCGCTGGCCTCCCCTCACCCCGGCCTCTGCTCTGTCTGACCGCGTCCTGGCACATAATCTCTCTTCCAGCTTTTTCTCCGAGCTCTAACCATCTCTCGTGGCCATGTCAAAGTCGGCCTCCTTGCAAACAGAGCTGATTTCCCTGACAAATATTGTCTTTCCTCTGATTCACCACAGGACTCCGACTTGAAATCTCTGAGTCTTGCTTGATTTTTGCATTCTATACATTTGCATATTTCCAACGTCTATTTGGTTCCAGGCTTTTGAAGGGCAGGGAACTTAATCACGTCTGGCCTAAGTGCCTTGACACAGAAGCTCAACAAGTGTTTATTGAACTGAAGCGCCTTCTAACGACTTGGAGACCCTGCCGTGTAACTGTTTAGCGGTCTCTCGAGGGTGACAAGGAATGGTTCCAGCAGACGGAGCGGGAGACTGGTCGTCCCTGACTCCAGCCCCTAATCGAGGCTCTGGGCTCTCAGCAAGCGGGGAGCGGACTCCCCAAAAGACCGGAGCCTGGACATCGCCGTTCACCAAAATAGTGAAACGGCTCTGGGAGCGGCCCCCTGCAGTGTACAACCAAGCAGCCAAAGGCAGTGACGCCGCCGTGTCAGGCGCTGAGCGCGAGCACTGCAGGCCCGTGACCGCGGAGCCTGGGCAGCGGACGGGTGAGAGGCAGGCTGTCTCCAGCCTCCGCGCAAGGCAGATTCCAGGCCGGAGCACGGGGAGGAAGGACCCAAACGGACCAGCAGTGCTCCTGAGTCAGAGACTGGGGTCAGAGTTCAGACAGCAGGGGCATCGGAATGCGGTGGAGCATCCGAGGTCACATGGGAAGTCTCCACCTTTCATTTGATTCTAAGACAGCTCTAAAAAATGGTGAAATTAATGCTCAGTTCTATTTCCAACTTTATCAAGTGAACGTTAGTGATGAATTTAGTTGGCTCCAACAAAGTTATTATTTCTTTTCCTATGAAACATATGAATTAAAGGTAAAATGATGGTCTAAAAAGAGCTTTTGGCATTTTTCACAGATATAGAAAAAACACACAAACAATCCTAAAATGTGTGTGGAAATTCAAGAGATCCTGAACAGCTAGAGCAATCTTGACCGGGAAGAACAAAGCTGGAGGCATCACATCTCCTCATTTCAAATTGCATTTTACAAAGCTACAGTAATCAAAACAATAATGTATCGGCACAAAAACAGACACACTGATCAATGGAACAGAATCAAGAACCCAGAGGTAAATCCATATACACTTTATTAAAAAAAAAACACATATATGGTCAAATGACCTTTGACAAGAGGGCCAAGAATACACAGCCTCTTCAATATGTGGTGTTGGGAAAACTGGACAGCCATGCACACAAGAATGACATTGGACCCTTCTCTTGCACCATACACAAAAATCAACCCAAAATGGATCAAAGGCTTAAACACAAGGCTTGGAACCACAAAACTCCAAGAAGACATAGAAGGGAAGCTCTGGACATGGGTCTCAACAAAGCTTACTTTGGATTTGACACCAAAAGCACAAACAACAAAGGGAATGACAAACACGCTGGATGACAGCAAACCGAAAGGCTCTGCACGGCGAAGGGAGCGGTGCACACACTGGAAAGACCATGTCCTTCCCACGCTCCGGGGTCCCCCGGCACTGGAGAAGCGGCACCCCGGACGGCGGCACCTGGCGGAGTTATCCCAGCTGTGGGGTTACAGGAGACTGTCCTGGCAGTGGCGACAGAGAATTAAGCCCGACTCTGGTTCCCCTCTGAGGGCAGGTCCCTGTGTGACCGTCACAAGCCATGAAGCCGGCCCTGGCCACAAGGGCTGGGAACGACCCTGCTGCTCCAAAGAGCACGCCTGTGGGAATGGACACCCCTTCTCGCCTGGGGAACTGAGCCGCTGCGTCAGCTTCCTGCTCACTCACAGGAGGGCACAGCATTTATCTCCCCTTTAAAGACGGGGACCACGAGTCTGGGTGTGACAGCAACCATTTCCCACACAACCTTGTTTTGCTCTGAGCCTGTGAAAACTAATAATTCATTTAGATCTTACCTAAAATCAACCCTTCCCCAAATCCGATAATAACTACATCTCTGGTTTCTGGGGTGAGGCACCTCGTGGTTTCGCTGGGGCGTGAGCTCCCTGCAAAACAACATGGCCCTCCCTTTGGTGGACAAGGGTGCCCCTAGGCTGCACCTCCAGGATAAACACAGCGGCAGAGGACTCGCCCTGAGACCTTGTCACCAGGGGAAAGAAGCAGTTGCAGTCATAGGAATTCCTGCCAAGGGCCGTGTCCCCCTGGCAGCCACACCAGCGTCCTGGATGGGAACCCCTTCCTGCAGCACCGGGCCAGCCCTCTGTTTCACACCCCGTCAGAGACTTCCTCTCGTGGGAAGTCATGCCCAGTCTTGTCCACACAACAGGATCACCAGCTTTCTTTAAAAAAAAAAAAAAAAGAAACGAAACAAAACAAACGTCTGCTGTGCTGCAAACTAGGATCTTTAAAACACATTTTAAGCGAAGAGAGAAAGTAGACCAGGATCAGGCGCTGCTTCCTTCTCCGGGGGTGTGCTACAGCACTTAGCAACGCTGGCCCCGCCGAGTCTATAAACAAACAGATAAACACCTTACCTAGAGATAAACTATATGGAAGTATATATCCATCTCTTCCAAGCATCATTAAGGAAACATCATTAAGGAAGGAGTCACGATTAATGCAACTTATTCAGAAAAACCCCACCCTGGGCGCCGGGCACTGGGCCCGTCCATCCCCAGCCTCACCCCTGCCCCATCAGCTGAACGGAGATGGGAAGAAGCTTCTGGTCCCAAAGGCAGGAGGAGAGGTCTTTCTGGGATTTTCCACGTCCGGATTAGCGCAAGGGTGACTGAGCGTGCTTTGTGCTCTAAAGGCCGTTCCCATGACACACAGGCAAGAGGCTCAGTTAATCACTCTGTAATTACCAAAGCTGCAGCCAAAACTGAACTCTCCCGGGAACCTGGGAGCTTGACGGAGTGCACGGCCCAGCCTCCCCTCCGGCCCCCGCTTGCTGTGACGCCCACCGGCCACCAGCATGAGGCTCCGTGACCTCCTCCTCGCCTTTCTCCTCGCGCTCCTGTTGTCCGTTCCAGGTGAGCCGGGCCCCGCGGCAGGCGGGCGGGACAGGGGGGAAGGACAGGACCGTCTCTCTCTCCTGTCTCTCTCTCTCTCTCTGTCCGTCTTCTCTCGTCTACACACGATTAGACTAAATACCTCATAGGAATTGCTCATGAGCACCCAGCCCCGTGTCCCCGGCGTGGAAGGAATCTAGGAACCTTCCTGTGCGAGTCACAGCTGTTTGCAAGTCACCCTGAAGGAACCGGTAGCTTGTAAGTCCATCTCCTCCCGGTATTTCGTGCGGAGTCTGCTGTGAAACAGAAGAAGCCTCTGCTGGGAGACACTTCTTTTTTCATAAAAGCCAGGAATTTGGTTTTGTCCAAGGACAGAAGTCCAGAACATCGCTTTATAAATCTTCCTACTTGAAGGGTGGAGTGTCTGGGTGACCAGAGAATCCGGGGGACAGTAAAACCCAGCCCGACCTCCGGGAGCCGCTGTCTGGGACCCCGTGCTTTGTCTGCTCAGCGGGGAGAGCCCCACAGACGGTACCCTGGCGGCACCGCACTGCGCCCGCGGCTGGGAGCGGCTCCTCCAGAGCCGTTCTCAGAAGCGGGTGCCTAGTTTGCACTTCAGCCCTGGTACCTACGGGAAGAGGATAAAAGGGTGAAGAAGGAAGGGAAGAGGGAGAGAGAGAGAGAATGTGAGGCTGAGCCCTGAGATAACTGATTAGATGTTAGACAGTATGTTGAAAAGCCTTCGTTTTATCAGTTCTGTTTCTGGCTGTGATGCAGCACTTGGAAGAGAAGTTGGGAGGAGGACGGAGGAGAACGGGTCAGGAAGACAGAAGTGTAAGAAAGATGAGAAGACACAGATGATGAGAAGGAGGCCATGGAGGCGGGCGGGTGAGGGAAGGATGACGCCCAGACCAGATCTGCGAGAATTCTGAGCTGTTAGGGACAATAGTACAAAAGGGTTTTTCTTAGCCATTGTTACTGTCAATTGTGAGTTACTTAGACACAGAGCCCTTGTAAACAGTCCCTACACTCCATCGTCTCCTGCCTCAGCCCAGCTACCTGGTCGACGAATGGGCTGGGAAACAACACGCTAAAAACAGACACCTGCTGGCTGGTTCTGGCTCTGAGACCTCTGGCATGTTGTGAAAATGGGAGTTGCACAGCTTTGAGGTGATCTTCGCTGACCTCGCACAGCACCCTCGTAACACCCCAGCTCCTCAGCCACACATCAGAGCCTTCAACCTTCTGGTTCTAGAACAGTGGGGACCCACCAGTCCCCGGGCAGTGCCGGGCTCTGTCTGAGAGCTGGATCCAAGTCGTCCTCGACTCACAACTTACTGTCCTGAGGGCAAAGACCTGGGGAAAGAGCGCCCCTGGGGCACTCGAAGGGGACAGTTTGCCTTTCTGACATGGCGCCTTCATCTCTGATCCTCTTTTGCCTTTTTTTCTTTTCTTTCAGGTTTTACTAAAGATATAGGAAATACCGTTAGCTGCCTTGGGAATAAAGGCGTCT